TCCATTGTCGGTCTATTGTACGATCTGTTGTTTCATCCATTCATCCATCCATTGTTTCTTCCATCATTCTATCATTCCATCCATCCATCATTCATTCTATCATACTATTTACTGTTCCATCCATCCATTGTTTATTCTGTTGTACTATCTATTGTTCCATCCATCCATCGTTTCTTCTAGCATTCCATCCATAGTTTATTCTATCATTCTATCTATTGTTCTATCTATTGTTCCATCCATCCATTGTTTCTTGTAGCATTATTGTTCCATCCATCCATCCATCCATCATGTGTTCTATCATACTATTTATTGTTCCATCCATCCATCGTTTCTTCTAGCATTCCATCCATCCATTGTTTGTTCTGTTGTACTGTCTATTGTTCCATCATCCATCCATTGTTGGTCTATTGTACTATCCATCCATCTTCATTAATTCCATTGTTCTATTGTTCCATCCATCCATTGTTTCTTGTAGCATTATTGTTCCATCCATCCATCATTTATTCTGTTGTACTATCTATTGTTCCATCCATTGTTTTTTTTTCTAGCGTTCTATCGTTTGTTCCATCCATCCATCGTTTCTTCTAGCATTCCATCCATCCATTGTTTATTCTGTTGTTCTGTCATTCCATCATCCATCCATTGTTGGTCTATCATACTATCTATTGTTTCATCCATCCATCCATCCATCACCAATTCTGTCATTCTATCTATTGTTCAATCCATCCATGTTTCTTCTATCATTCTTGCTCGTTTGTTCACTCGCTCATTTGTTCATTCTGTCATTTATCTTATCTATCATTCTATCTGTCTTTCTGTTGTCCTATCGCGATATCTATCTATCTATCTATCTATCTATCTATCTAGGAAGCGTTCCTGGAAAGATAAAGGTCATGCTTTGATTCCCACAGTGTGAGACTGTAAATCAGCAGAGCTCATCAGACCACACACACACACACACACAGAGCATCTGACACCTGGAGAGGAAGCGTGTTGCGTGGTGGGTGGGCCGCAGCATGTGTTCATGTGTGTGTGTGTGTGTGTGTGTGTGTGTGTGTGTGTCTGTGTGTGTGAATGCCGGGTTTCCGTTTGACCTTTGATCCCTGAACTGTTGCAGACGTGACGGGTGAAAGGGCTCCAGCTCCTCGGCTGGATTCGGTTCTGCTGGAGCCTGTAATTATCGTTACGAGCTCCGGCAGATACGCCCATTTCTCCAGACCGCAGTAACGTGCCTGAACGAGTGCAGGACGTGTGAAGAGGAGAGCTGCAGCGTCTCAGCGTGAGCGCGTGTAAGCCTGGATGTCTGAGTTTATAAGACACACTCCTGCTCTAAAGCCCGCTGCTCACGCTGGCTAGCTGAATTTTAAGCCTCTCTAAACCATGGAAATGCCATGTTGATGCTCTTTGAAACTTTTCATGGTGTTTTCAAACTCTTTCAGTTGGAAAATGTCTTTTATAGCTGCACTTGCACGTGTGCAGAACACCAAAATTAAAGCTAATTTAATAATCAATTAAAATAATCAGATTTAACACCCAAATACAAACTTGTACAAAGATTTAAACTGCACATATGGCAGTTTTTATGTCAAGTTTTTAATGATAGAATTATGTTTCTGCTTCAATTTGTGATTTAAACATTTAAAAAAAAATTTAAGTTGTTTTCATGACAAATTTATTCAAACATGCATTAAATAATGAAGGCATCACTGACAGGTTAAGTAAAAATATTATGAATATTTATTATGTATATATTTAGCAAAATGTTCATTTGAATAGTTATTTTTTGTAGCTGACTATTGAGTTTACAGAGATTGAATGTCTGTTCTGAGGTTTCTGACGTTTCGTGACATTATTGCTCTCAAGCTGTTTTATTGACGTGGTTGAAACACTGATTGAACGTTTACATGATTCGTGACTTTATTTCAGAAAGTTGTTCTGTTTCTGATGTTCATTCATGTTTATTTGCTGCTATAACTAGTAGTAAAGGAAGAGATGATCACATTAACATCACATTAAAGAGCCACAAAACCACATTTGTTGATTGTCATGATAAAATTTGAAAGTTGAGACTTTGTTTCATATTAACAGTAACGGAACAAAGCTTATTGCAATTTTTGGATGGCAGGGCCTACAAATAATGATTTGTGAAGTTCATGCATCAACAGAAAACAGTATAGACTAAAAGACCGATCTTGAGATTTAAGAATCCATAGTATAGATTAAAAATGATAAATCCAGCACTAGCTGTCATGTACCTGTTTGCCACATTGCGCATGAAATAGACACAGATTTTGAGCTTCCAATACCATTTTGGCCAAAACCTAAAATTGCTGTTGGGGCAAAACATTTTTGATTGCCGAAATTTTGGTGAATCACTAGTTAAGAGCGTAATGTAACGATCCAGGCTTCTGCAAGCAGGGCTTATATGAAGATCTCTCTCTAGTCTCTACACTTTTCTCATTTTTCCGCAAGAGCTCCCTTGAGCAGAGAGGCAATTATGCAGCACTGTGGTGTTATATTTCATTCCATGAGCGTCTCTGCATTATACCATACCATTAGCACGCCTGCTAACAGCTTCATGCCACCCCAGAGAACCCGAGAGAGAGATGCTTGCGCTTTTAGAGAGAGTGATGGACAAACCGCATACTGGAGTGACACATGATTTCTGTGATTTGTAGTGAGGGGTGACAGATATCTGCAGTCCAGTTTCCAGTGACCCCTGGAGGTCAAGCACAGAGCTACACTTCTGAAAGTGATGCAGGACTGCAGTGTGTTCGCTGTTCTTCATCAGTATGAAGTGTCATACAGCCGACTTTGAGTCTGCAACAACTAATCGAAAAAATTTATACTAATCAAAAGTGTATTTGATTATTAATTAATCACTGCACACTGTGCACATAAAATATCCACCAGTCACATCACTTTAGAGCAGTAAATACATTTCTATGGACAAACGTGTCTGAGAGGATACACAGTGAGCTACAGCGGGAAAAGTGCACAATAGTTGTCCTAAACATGAGAAAGTTTCATATTAAGCTTCAAACAAAAGCATATGGTTTAACACTATTTGCTGTGCTTTGATGGATGCATGTGCTGTTTAATGCATTTTCATTCTACAGGGCCTGTATTTTTTCTTTGTGTAAATGTTCAAAAGGCACGTTTTGCAGAAAGGCTCGTCCTGACAGAAAGTGACACTCCTTAAACTTCACTGAACGAGCGCCGTTGTGCGAATGCACATCAAACAGACGTAGCGCAATAGAACAGGAGTGTGATCATTCTGACTGTGCAATGTTAAATATGCATTTTGTTGGATGTTAAATGCATGTTGAAGATGCTGTATGTAACAAGTAATTGTGTTTTTATGAGAGTAGCAGCTGTAAAGGGATTGTTGTAATAGGGTATAAATGTATATAATTACTACTCCAGTTAAGTATAAATGCGTATGTTTAGTCTGTCTTTAGTGTTTTTTTTTTAACTTTATTATGGTGGGCAAGTTGTAGAATGTAATGTATATATTAACCTTATTTACATTCTTCTGTTTGCACATTGAGCAGCATATAATACGTTTTTTAAAGTAAAATACTGAAAAAAAAGGCTTTTTTTAATACAATTAATCAAAGATGTAATCGGCAGGTTAATCGATCAAAATAATTGGTAACACTTTACAGTAAGGTCTTGCTTGTTAACATTAGTTAATGCATGAACTAACATGAACTATGAACAATATATTTTTACAGCATTTATTAACCATAGTCAGTGTTAGTTAACATACAACTTTTGGTTTTAATAATGTATTAGTCACACACACACACACACACACACACACTCACACACACACAC